GCCTCTAATTTGGCCATGGTGGGCGATTTTCCGATGGATGTGCCCCGTGATCGGTGTGTTGGCATCCCATCAAGAGTGCACGTCTACATTGTGCTCTCTGCTGCCTGAGATAGGCCCAGGGACCCCCTGTTATTTGATATGTGTTCTTTGTCTTTCACCCTCAGTTCTGTGAGATGATTTCCACGCCTTCAGTGAGTCGCTGGGCAGGACCCATCATTGATGTCCTCCTGGATTATGTTGGCAATGTGCAGCTGTGTGCCAGGCTGATAGAGCATCTGGATAGCTATGAGGACTGGGGCGTTATCAAGGAGAAATCAAGTAAGCATGTCAAAATCATCTGTTATTTACAATTTCTTTCGTTTGTTTCTGACTGAAACCAACATTTAGCCATTTCTATTGCTACATATATGTATGTGTAAAAATCTTTGTCTGCTATGAATTTTATCTAAAACCATATTGGACTGGTATCTGATCCAGAGTGTACACCAGCCTTGTGCTTATTGCTGGAATGTGTGGTTATAGGATGGACGGATGGAAGGAAGGATGGGTGTAATCATTGATGAACATTCTGATGTACATATTGATTACAGTTGTTTGGTTAGCAGTAAGATTCTGGTAAAGGAAAGGAATACATTATCAAATCAAGTCAAACCTCCATGTCATGCTATTCTGGTCAGACTCTGTGTCTGGAACAGGAAGAGCTATGCTTCCCAAGAGTAGATGCTCCTTATTAGGTTAACAGACACCATCATAGAGAGGTCTGGGGGGGACAGCATTTCTAAAAGTTTACTTTATGGAGAACTAGTGCTAATAAACCAAACAAGCTGGCTGATAAGTTCAGCTCCAGAAAAACTGACATTTCTCCCTGATTTCATGTATTTCATGTTCCTTGAGCCTATCCCAGGAAGCATAGTGCACAAGGCTGGGGGATAACCAGGACAAAATGCAAGTTTATATTCAATCCATGAAACATACAGGGTTTCAATTTGGACAGAGCCCAGCACAGCTCAGCTCTGCCTCCTTACAGTATGTCCGAAATGCACCTTAACGGAGCGCAGCTCCGCCTCTTTAAATCTTTAAATCAGATTCAATATAAATTCTCATTAGTACCTCAGATCTTGAGATCACTTTCTCAAGTGGATGAGATATTCCTATATGACGCCTTAATTTCTTCATTTCTGTCCCATGTTTTTGTATTTTGACCTTAACTGTATTTTGCTTACTCTACTGCTGCCAAAACTTCACTTACTAGCTGGACTCTGCTAGGGGTAAAACATACTTAAGAGGCTATCTGTGAGTAATTTGTTAAGCATGTGGCTCAGTAGGCTAAGCCTCTCTGTCTGTGATTAGAATGACACCAGTTCAAACCTGCCTATTAACCCTCAGATCCCTGGATGCTATAACATGTGGCTGCCCTTCACAACCAGCTTGCTGCCATCTACAGAGAGCTAGTTGGGGGTGGTGTAAAGATTCCCCACAGGGATCAATAAAGCACCAATCGTTATGCAGTGAATTATTTTGGCCCATCCCCCACTCTGTACCTGTCGGTGTTACACTTCCTCTCTGATTTTGGTTTAACCCATGTCAGTTATTCTTCTGCCTAACAGGTTTCTTCATTCACATATATATTTGAATTGATGGCTTAATAGTGTGTGAACATGAAAAGGTGATGCATTCTGGGTACTTTATTTCTC